ACGACACAGATCGTATGCCCCTACCGGTTTCTAGGCCCCACTTCTTTGGATGAAAAAGATAACTAAATACGACACAGATCGTATGCCCCTACCGGTTTCTAGGCCCTACTTCTTTGGATGAAAAAGATAACTAAATACGACACAGATCGTATGCCCCTACCGGTTTTTAGGCCCTGCTTTATTAGATATCTCTGAAAACAAAATCTATTTTACAATTTTCAAGTTGTAATTTGCTCCTTGCGGTTGTTGTTTAATTCTATTTATTTAATGATCGGATCTTCTTTTACCAGTCTGAACCAAAGGTTGTTGTTAGCTTAAAGTTTTGCTTGAATTAAATACGCCTGTATGTAAAGATGTGGGGGGGGGGGGGTTGTTTTGTTTTGTTTGTAGTTAAGCGCAAAGCTACACAATGGGATATCCGTGATCTGCCCACCACGGGTATCGAAACCAGGTTTCTAGCGTAGCGTTGTAAGTCCGCAGACAATACCGCTGTGCCACTGGGGGGGGGGGGCATATGGAGGAAGGGGAGAGAAAGAACCTAATAGTTGTAGTCTACGAATAACGGTTAATTGCTAAAATCAGTGAAATATCAATTATTAATGAGACGTAAAACAATACTTCATAAATATATTAAACCTTTCAGTTCAATGTGATATGATGCGTATTGAAGTGTGTTGAAGTGAGCGTTCTATTGTTTCGTTATGCCACAAAATATATAGAAAATGCTCAATAAATATAATAACATTAGTTGGCATAATAATTACAGTAAGATTAATTAAATATTAGAAAGGGTTCTGTTGTAAATAACTTAACTTGTTTTTTTTTATTTCACGACGTTCCACCAGGTTAACCTGACATCACCAGGTAACTTACATGAAATTACTAGAACAGAAATAAATTCATATTTCGTGTAAAGGTAGTAATGCCTTAGGGTATATTATGAATTTAATACGAACATTTAATTTACATACTGATGTTTGTTATAATACCCTAATAAGTCCATTTTGAGGGCAGTGTCTGGTGTTCAGGGGGTGCTGGAATCGCAATCTGTGGGTAACGGGTTCAAATCGGATCACTGAACATGCTCACTCTTTCAGCCGTGAGGGCGTTGTATTGTGACGATCAATCCTACTTTTAACTTAAAAGTTGCCCTCTGGTGGCTCAGCGGTAAAGCCTCAAGGCTTAAACGCTAAAATTCGGGTTTCGATACCCGCGGCGAGCAGAGCACGGATAGCTCATTGTGCAGCTTTCTTTGTGCTCAATAACAAAGCTCAAGAGTTGGCGGTGGGTGATGTTTACCAGTTGCCTTCCCTCAAGTCTATTAGTTCTAAACTAGGAATGGCTAATGCAGAGAGCTCTCGAGTAGCTTTGTCCGAAATTCAACAAACAAACATCACCTTTGATGGTCACGTGCTTTCTATATGGCGTTTGAGAAGTCTTTTTTTTTACTCGTACAATCATCACGTTTACTTTTTTATTACTTTAAACAGCTGGTCGACTACATAATTTACTTGGTAGCGTAAATGCTGTATCTTCGTTAAAGTCGTGTGTAAATATACGTTTACTGTGTGAGGAAAAGGAATTACAAAACACCATACATGTAGTAGACACTCAACCACAATATAAAGCCTAGTGTTAAATGTATCGGTTTTTGACTTTGCTCTTTTACCCACCTCTTATAATCTCCATTTATATCTATCTTTGTCGCTTGGCCGACGAGAAGGCGTAACCCTTTAGAGGTCCGACGGTCCCCCCGGGATCGGAATGAAATAACGCATTTGTTGTTGTCGTTTCGATGTGTTTAATGAAAAGAAACTACGGTTTCTGATCGCTCCTAGTTATCATTTGAGCCCATATAGAGATAGAAAGATTTTAAACTGCCAAGATTTTTTGGGTTGGGTTTGGGTTTCGATTTGGCTTTGTCCAGGTCTGTTGATGAGGAGTGATACGTTGTGCTTGTTTTAGAGCAAAACCACATTGCTGTGTCCACCGCAGGGAATCGAATCCCGGATTTTAGAATTGTA